GCGTAGAAAGCAGTTTGAGTTGATTAGAACTTTTATGTCCACTTGAATTCCTTTTTTGGATTTTATCTCATCACTTGTTTGTGTCGCTGAATCTCTCCCATTAACTCGCATCTTGTTTTGTTTTTTTATTCCACTGGAGCAGCTCTCTGAGATCCATTCCTTACTGATTGGCTTCTCTCTAATCAATATCTGGTAAGCCAAATGTTATCGATCTGATCTCACTCATTGTCTTCTTGACTGCAGTAAGAGTTAGATTCTGATTTTAGATTCTGAGTTTGATATTTTTTGTTTCTTGGAGATGGCGGATGCGGCGAAAGATTTAGCTTCAGGGACTGTTGGAGGAGCTGCTCAGCTGATCGTAGGTCACCCATTTGACACAATCAAGGTCAAACTTCAGAGCCAACCTGCTCCAACACCTGGACAACCACCTAGGTACACCGGTGCTATCGATGCTGTTAAACAAACCGTTGCTTCTGAAGGACCTAAAGGTTTGTACAAAGGCATGGGAGCTCCTCTTGCAACCGTTGCTGCATTCAATGCTGTTCTATTCACCGTGAGAGGTCAGATGGAAGGGCTGCTTAGGTCGGAACCTGGTGTTCCTTTGACTATAAGTCAACAGTTTGTGTGTGGGGCAGGAGCTGGTTTCGCTGTCTCGTTCCTTGCTTGTCCTACCGAGTTGATCAAATGCAGGTCAGGTTCTTACAAAACCGAAACAGAACTTAAATATGTTTTTCTTAATACCAGGAGGTTCGGGCCGGGCCGAAGCAAGAACATATAAAATATGTTTCTTTGTCTGAGTGTGTGTTGATTTTTGTCTTGCTATCAGGTTGCAAGCACAAGGTGGTGCAGTAGCTGCAGCCTCTACCCCAGGCTCAGTGGTTGCTGCAGTGAAGTACGGTGGACCAATGGACGTGGCCCGTCATGTGCTACGATCAGAAGGTGGAGCAAGAGGTCTATTCAAAGGGTTGTTTCCTACATTTGCACGTGAAGTCCCGGGAAACGCGACAATGTTTGCAGCCTATGAAGCTTTCAAGAGGTTCTTAGCTGGTGGTTCAGACACTTCAAGCTTAGGACAAGGGTCATTGATCATGGCTGGTGGAGTTGCTGGGGCGTCCTTTTGGGGATTTGTTTACCCGACCGATGTGGTGAAGAGTGTTCTTCAAGTTGATGATTATAAGAACCCTAAGTACAAGGGTTCGATGGATGCTTTTAGGAAGATTCTGAAAGCTGAAGGAGTTAAAGGTTTGTATAAAGGGTTTGGTCCAGCTATGGCTAGGAGTGTTCCTGCTAATGCTGCTTGCTTCTTGGCTTATGAGATGACTAGGTCAAGCTTGGGATAAACCGGTTCTGTGTTGGTTTTTAACTGTTGGTCTGTCCAATTTGTGGATGTTCCATTGATTAATCTTTCTGTCTCTTCACAATTTATACAATTTACTTCTGAAACTCGAAAGTGGTTATTGAGAATTTATTTTACAGATTAAACAAACAAAAATTGAGTGACCAATTTAGCCAAACCGAATTAAACCAAGCCAAAATGGCATCAGTTTTACATCAGTTCTAGTAGACCCAAATATCGAATTGATCAAACCAAACCGACTACCGAAGCTTGTTTAACTAAAACTGAACCCAATCTTGTAAATAGTCTAAAAGTTTATATAATTTAATTTAACTATCAAAAAATATGAATAAGAAACTCCAAATGGTAAATAATATTGGCGTGCTTACCTTGGGAAAAAAGGCCACCGCTTCAGACCCCGTTTAAACACTAAAATCTAGGGTTACATTTTTACAAAATTTACATTGATTGGCTTATGTTTATTGAGGATTTAGTTAGAACTACTTATCTACTAGGTTGCACGGAAATTTCATCTAACGTGTGTTCCCGTTTCAGAACCAGAATCAGAATCGAAATTTTGTGGACGCTTACGAAATCTTGCTTCTTTAGCACTTTTAAAATAACATATATAAAAACATGTTGGAAATTTACGTTTCCATTTTAAAATCATGCTTCCATTTAAAAACACTATATCATAAATAAATAAATAAAATATAAAATCATGCTTTTAAAGAAAATCTGAAAATTTAATAGTATATATAGTGAAAATAGAAATATGTAAATACTAAAAATAATACTATAAAGTATTTTATGCACTGTTTTATTAGATATACATCATATATATTTAAATATATTGTGCCAATTATTTATAAACTATTAAAAATAATTAATTGGATAATTTTTTTATAAACTTAATTTATCTATATTTTCACAATTATAATATGCAACCATTTAAAGTTAGAGTCAATTGGGAAAATATCCTAAACTAATACTGAAATTAGCAATCTACCTTAAACAGTATTTCTTTGAGTTGCAGAGTGTTGGTATACTAGCCAAAAAGACCTATACCCCTCCAGTTTTCATAGACATGTAAGATTATAGCGTAGCACGTGATGGATTTAGTGAATATTTCGTAAGATTTGATTTACTTTACCGAGAATGTGTAATAGTTGTTGTTGCAGAAGAAGAAACAATCTCAGCCACAAATCTTACTAATCTACTTTTTTTTTGAAACACATCTTACTAATATAAACCCTAAAAATTAAATCCTAAACCCTACACCCTAAATCTTAAATAAAAAAACCCTAACCCTAACCCATAAATCCTAAACTTTTAAACCCTAAAAACTAAACCCTAAACCCTAAAAACTTTTCTCATATACTTTTAAGCCCTAAAAACTAAACCCTAAACCCAAAACCCTAAATCCTAAACCAAAAAACCCTAACCCATAAATCCTAAAATTTTAAACCCTAAAAACTAAACCCTAAACCCTAAAAACTTTTATCATATACTTTTCAACCCTAAAAACTAAACCCTAAACTCTAAACCCTAAACCAAAAAATCTAAACCCTAACCCATAAATTCGATTTGTTTCTTGGGTTTCTCCCTTCTCCCAACTTCAAAAGATGAAACATCCAAAGAAAATTGTCTCTAGGATAGATGAGAGACGATTTTTGAGATGCAATAACAAGAGAGATTATGATTTCAAGGAAAAAATATATGTTGTCAGTGTATAAGATCTTCGCAATCTCTATAAGATTTTGTCTACTCCCAACTTCGTCAGGTTTGTTTATCGTATAGGGGTAACATAGTCATATTCGACTTTGTACAGTGAGTGAATAGTAATATTTGGTATATTCTTAAATAGCAGATCATGTGTGGGTATGAGGCCTAATTTCTCTTAAAATTATAATAATTGAATACACTCTTTATTTTTAATAAACATCATATAATTCTTAGTTATAAATTTATATATGTGTGTGTATATTGGATACACACTTCCAAAACATGCCCACTTCTTTTTTTTTTTCCCAAATCTCGATTCGGCGCTTCCTTACAATTCCATTTCCGCACACCCACTTCTATTTTCATGTATCATACCTTATATATATATTTTATACATGAGTTCAATAAAATATTGTCTACTTACTCTCAACATTTACACAGATAAAATAAGTTTTTAAACTTTTTGTCAGCATTGTTATTTTCATCTTATAATTTTTCTACACTATAATTTTTACTCCGTATTTTGAAGTGTAATTTATATAGGTTTCAGATAAAACCATAATAAGTTCATATATGTACATAGGAAAAGGGGTGGGAGTTCGTATAACTATTCAGGTTTTCTAGGTTGGAGATTTCAGCCCCATTCGGCTATTTATAAATTTTGGTCTGGGTTCGGTTCGAAACTTTTTTAGTCTGGTTCGGGTTTGGATAACCCGTTTAAATTAAAATTTTAAAATTCATATATACTTTAAATTTCAAAAATCTAAAAATAAAAATGATATATAGCATACAAATTTGAGTAATGCATGCCAAAGTAGCGTAACTTAACATAAAATTTGGTAACCTGAATATTTGGATAGATAATCTTTAGATATTTTTTAAGTATTGAAGTTGTTTTTACTATTGTTTAGCTACTTTAAATATTTACTTTTGAATATTTGTATATATTTTCAAATATATTTGGACAACATCAAAATATCTTATACATTTTTTATACTTTTTCGATATTACATCTAGAAATAGACAATATATTTAAGTATAGAAATCTAATTCAGATATATTTGGGTATCCGAAATATTTGGTTCGGATCGTTTTCGGTTTTCTAGATACCGAAATTTTGAACCCATTCGAATATTTAATCAATTTCGGTTCGGATTCAGTATTATTTTTTTGATCGGATTTGTCTCGGTTTTTTAGGTGCATTTCTTACCCAGCCCTAGGAAAATCAAATGAAAATTTTATTATAAAGCAAAAATACATGATATGTGATGTTTAGTAAAACAAAATGTTGCATAATTATTTTAAGCACCTAACATATGAGAAACTTAATTATGTTTTTATTTTAATATCAGATTTAATCATAACTTTGGTTTAAACTTTTTTAGATTTTGATAATTTTTAAAAAAATAACTTCTTTATTGCCTTAGGCCTCCAATAATGTAGGCACGGCACAGTTAAATCATAAAACTTATCTCTTAAAAATAAAACAAAAAGGATTGAACTCGAACTGCTAAAATTATATATTTGACCCAACATTTTATATATAATCAATTTATTAAATTCAGCCTTTTCCCAAAAACAATGGAAACATTTTTTCCAGATACCTTTTATTTCATTCACGATTTATATTCTGTGGGATATTTGTTCGGTAAAAAGTTGAAAACTCTCGAGTAATACAAGCCAGACAGCTTAATAACGCTTTATCTGAACATGGGCTGGACAATATAGATAGGCCCATTGTAATATGTCACGTCATGCGCGGATAACTAACTAGCGTATGACTAGTGCTTGCTCAGTAGATTATCAACAGCAAAAAAGGAGGGAACTTAACCGCTTTATCTTTTTTCTTCATACATTTTTTATTGTTTTGTATTACTTTTTGGCTATAAATACCAAAATAGCATATCACAATTCGAGAAAGAAAAAAATAACAAGTCTAATGGAGACGATGGAACAACAAAGACATTCACTCTCTTCTTTGCCTATGCTCTCTAGGCTTGAGCATGTGGATTTCGTTGTAAATCTTTCTCTTACATTATAAAATAGTTTACATCGTGATGAATATACTATTCATTATATATTTTCTTTTTTTACTATTTACTATATCGATTTGACTGTATTATGTATTGCTTCATGATTGTAGATAAAGAATTTAGAAAGACAACAAAACCTTTCTAAATGGAAAGAAGAAAGCGCATCATCTACCAACCGTGGTGTAATCGATAGAGGCGCCGCGGTTAGAGAAGCCTATTTCAAAGGATCGTTACTAGATAGAATCGCAGCTTTGGAAACCAGACTTTTTCAGGTATGGTTTTACTATAGATCTTAGAACAAGTTATTTATAAGTGAATTTGTGTAATACGTTTAATGGTTTATGTATAATGCAAAAAGATATGTTTGGAGTTGGAATCGGGCAGTGCATCTTCTGCTTCAACTGGAGGGTCCGGTGAAACATCAAGCCAAAGGATTAAGAGAGATTTGACAAAGCCTTTACCCATTTTCACTAGCAACGTTAATCCTTTTCATATCCCCTTACAACATCCACAAGATCCTGATGTATGTAAATTTATGATTTATCTATGTTTTGTATTTTTACAAAAACAAAGTAGTTTACCTTTTCAATCATATAATAACCGATCATCAATGACTATACACTATACGCCACCTTATGCCATCACTATAACTATATAGATTGTCTAATAAACTTTCCTTTGTAAGAGTTTAACAGATTGGACTGTCACTTTTCTTTCATGTTGTTAATTGATTTTAGTTAAAAAATCTGTTACTTAGATAATTGTGATTAAACATGTTTTTTATAATATGCAGGAAGCAGGACATAAGATTGAAGAAGAGAAAGAGGAAGAGATGAATGTTGAGAAACCATTACTAAAGAAGAATAAGAAGAAGGATGCTAATGAAACTTGCAAACCAAACAAGAAGACAAAATCTCCCAAGAAATGGTCTCGATTTAACTTATTAGGTTGCTAAAATTATTTATAATGTTTGGACTATGCAGATTTCATATTTCGTTTAAACTTAAGTTTTTCTTCTTAACAATTATGTGCTATATATAATCATCAAACTTAGGACTAATTAATTTTTGCTTAACATATTTAGCAATCATAAAATAAGCAGTTGTTTCGAACTACTAATTTAGGATGCATGGGTGTTCGGGTGGCCAATCGGTTTTGGTTCGGGCTAATTCGGATCAGGGTTTTTGGGAGAAAAAAATTAATCCCATTCAGATATTATAAAAGTTCAGTTCGCTGTTAGTTCGGGTTAACTTGGATTCGGTTCAGATATAGTAACACATTGGAAACCCGGTTGAACCCTTTTTAAATTCGGGTTCGGTTCTAATTCAAGTTTCAGTTATCCAAATACTTATTTGTGTCTACAAAATGCATATGTAAGTTCACAAACTTGAAGAATTGTGTATTAAAAGGCTTGATGACACGATTAAGAATTAAAAAATTTGCATAGACAAGTTAAAACTAACAACTCTATAACGTAAGAAAAATCATTTGAACTTAAAATAGTTTTGAAATTTTTTAAGAAAACTTAAATATAATCAAACTTTAAATGCAATGTTGAAACATAAAATTCTCAATATTTGATTAATTATCAAAAATATACACTAAACAAAATATTGGAGTTAATTTATAATTTTTCATGTTATAGATACTTATTAAGGTAATTATTCAGGACTGAGTTTGTGTTTGGTATAATGTTTTCTTAGGTTTTTACAATTTATAGTGTTTTATCGAATATCTTTTTGGATTAGGGTTCAGTTCAGGTAAAAATCAAACCCAATATATCATAAAACAAGATCTATTCGGATATTGTGTCGGGTTCACTTGAGTTTGGATTTACCTTTTATCGGAGTGGATTGGTTCAGATTTTCGGGTTCAGTTTTTTTATCCACCCTTATACAAATCAATAGTTTATAGAAAAAGTGATTTGTCTACGTAGGAAAACAATGTACTTATATTAGGGGGGTGTCTTTAAAACAAAAATGTACTTATACTAATGGGGTGTATCCAATCTGAAATTTGAAATTATTTGATTTTTAACGAGTTATAAATGATTTTAGGTGAATTTAATTTGGTGTATTTTTTGGTGAATTAGTTTAGAATCTTATCTAAAACCATGAGATTTAGATTTTTATTTTATAACTTAAAAACTCCACTCAAACATTCTAGAAAACTTAAAATTTGTTCAGTCTGTAGATTTAGAATTCAGATTTCTGAGTACTTTATTAGATTTTTATAAGAAAAGTACTCTATTAAAGGTTTGACTGGTTCAAACGTTGTGGTTGCGGTAGTTTGCGAATGCGGGTGATTGCGGTTTAAAGATATTACACGACTGGTACTATGGTTAAAAATTAGTGCGTTTGCGGGATATTTATGACTGGTCAACTATCAAATGCAGTAGCGGTTAAAATATAAATTAACAATATTTATATTTTTTATAATTATTCAAATACCGTAAAATCATAATATTATAATAAATATAAAATTATATTTATAAAGTTATAGTTGTAAAATTTTAAAATTATTGAAAATATTTTATTTAAAATTTTATAATATTAATTAAAATATAATAAGTATATTTTTATATTTTTATAATTCTATTTTAAAATTTTGATTGAATATTTTTATTTTTTATTTATATTGTTTAAAAAAAAAATCAACCTTCCGCAACCGTCCACAATCGCAAACGCTAGTTGGAACTAGCTTTTGAATTTAAGAGGTGTAGAGCGGTTTGAAGCGGTTCAGAGCGACTTGAGTGATTGTTACAAAACGTCAGCAACCGCTACCAATCGCAAAAGCTGCGTTTGCGGGTGATAGCGAGGAAAGCAATCATGTCCTAAATAACAAATTCAATAATATTGAATTTAAAAATATTTTTTAAATCCATATCCGGATAACAATGGGATTTTCATTTAATACAAATCAGCTTAAACTTCTAGTCAAATACTTTTAGGATGCACTACAGATATGTGTATAGCTGTATTTTCACTAATTTTTTTTTCAGCCTCGTTGTTTTTGTTCTCTCTTGGAAAGGATGGAAACTGGAATGTTGTATAACATAACTCTGAGTTATAGATTGTAGAAATCGATTAAAAATTTTATTATATATTTTCAGAAACTGAAATTATGGATTTGACCTTTTAAAGCTTACTTTCTTGTATTGCTTTTTTTTAATGTATTTTAAATTAATTGATAAGGTAACTTAAAAATTAAAATTTCCCAATTTTAAAATTTGTTTTTGTAGTTTTAGAAAACTTTTATAGTTGAAATTGTTCTAGTTAGGTTAGATATTCTTTTTTTTTTTTTTAGTTATTCTTAGTTTATGTTAATTCGGTTTTGGAATTTGGGGATTGTGTATCTCTTTTGTAAGCTGAAGGATTGTGAGCTTGTTCCGTTTAAGATGAGAGTGTGTTACACAGTGCAATGATTGTGTAACACATTGCAATAAGTTTGGTACGTGTAATGACGTGGCACAAACTTATGGAAATAGAAGATATTGCTTGGGTGCGAAACAAAGAAGATCTTCTGGGTGGCGATATTTTAGGAAGTAGAATATTGTCTTTTTCATGCCTACTTAACGAGGCAACCTAAGAGAGTTTTAGGTTAGACGTTAAGAGAGAA